ATCACTTGGAGAATGAACAATAGGTTACTGAATGATCAATGGGTTATAGAAGACATCAAGGAGGAAATTAAAAAATTCTTAGAGATTAATGAAAACACAGACACAACATATCGGAATCTATGGGACACATTGAAAGCAGTTCTAAGAGGAAAATTCATTGCTTGGAGTTCATTCCTTAAAAAAAGAAGAAACCAACAAATAAATGATCTCATACTTCATCTCAAAATCCTTGAAAAAGAAGAGCAAAACAACAGCAAAAGAAGTAGAAGGCAAGAAATAATTAAAATCAGAGCTGAAATTAATGAAATCGAAACAAAAGAAACAATTGAAAAAATTGACAAAACTAAAAGTTGGTTCTTTGAAAAAATAAACAAAATCGACAGACCCTTAGCGAGGCTAGTGAAGAGAAGAAGAGAGAGAACTCAAATTACTAGCATACGGGATGAAAAAGGCAATATCACAACAGACACTTCAGAAATACAGAAGATAATCAAAAACTATTTTGAATCCTTATACTCCAATAAATTAGAAGATAGTGAAGGCATAGATAAATTTCTTAAGTCATATGATCTGCCCAGATTGAGTCAGGAGGATATAGAAAACCTAAACAGACCAATATCAATTGAGGAGATAGAAGAAACCATCAAAAGACTACCAACTAAGAAAAGCCCAGGTCCCGATGGGTATACAGCAGAATTTTACAAAACCTTTAAAGAAGAACTAATACCAATACTTTTCAAGCTACTTCAGGAAATAGAAAAGGAGGGAGAACTTCCAAATTCATTCTATGAGGCCAACATCACCCTGATACCTAAACCAGACAAAGACACTTCAAAGAAAGAAAACTACAGACCAATATCTCTAATGAACCTAGATGCAAAAATCCTCAATAAAATTCTGGCGAATCGGATACAAAAACATATAAAAAAAATTGTACACCATGATCAAGTAGGATTCATCCCTGGGATGCAAGGCTGGTTCAATATACGGAAATCAATAAATGTTATTCACCACATCAATAGACTTAAAAATAAGAACCATATGATCATCTCGATAGATGCGGAAAAAGCATTTGACAAAGTACAGCATCCCTTTATGTTCAAAACTCTAGAAAAACTAGGGATAACAGGAACATACCTCAATATTGTAAAAGCAATCTATGCTAAGCCTCAGGCTAGCATTATTCTGAATGGAGAAAAACTGAAGGCATTCCCTCTAAAATCTGGAACAAGACAGGGATGCCCTCTCTCTCCACTTCTCTTCAACATAGTTCTCGAAACACTGGCCAGAGCAATTAGACAGACGAAAGAAATTAAAGGCATAAAAATAGGAAAAGAAGAAATTAAATTATCACTATTTGCAGATGATATGATTCTATATCTAGCAGACCCAAAAGGCTCTACAAAGAAACTATTAGAGCTAATAAATGAATTCAGCAAAGTGGCAGGATTTAAAATCAACACGCATAAATCAAAGGCATTCCTGTATATCAGCGACAAATCCTCTGAAATGGAAATGAGGACAACCACTCCATTCAAAATATCTTCAAAAAAAATAAAATACTTGGGAATCAACCTAACAAAAGAGGTGAAAGACTTATACAATGAAAACTACAGAACCCTAAAGAGAGAAATAGAAGAAGATCTTAGAAGATGGAAAAATATACCCTGTTCATGGATAGGCAGAACTAACATCATCAAAATGGCGATATTACCAAAAGTTCTCTATAGGTTTAATGCAATGCCAATCAAAATCCCAATGGCATTTCTTGTAGAAATAGAGAAAGCAATCATGAAATTCATATGGAAAAATAAAAGACCCAGAATAGCAAAAACAATGCTAAGCAAGAAGTGTGAATCAGGCGGTATAGCGATACCAGACTTCAAACTATACTACAGAGCAATAGTAACAAAAACAGCATGGTACTGGTACCAAAACAGGCGTGTGGACCAATGGTACAGAATAGAGGACACAGAAACCAATCCACAAAACTACAACTATCTTATATTTGATAAAGGGGCTAAAAGCATGCAATGGAGGAAGGATAGCATCTTCAACAAATGGTGCTGGGAAAACTGGAAATCCTTATGCAACAAAATGAAACTGAATCCCTTTCTCTCGCCATGCACAAAAGTGAATTCAAAATGGATCAAGGAACTTGATATCAAATCAGAGACGCGCCGTCTGATAGAAGAAAAAGTTGGCTACGATCTACAGTCGGTGGGGTCGGGCTCCAAATTCCTCAATAGGACACCCATAGCACAAAAGTTAATAACTAGAATCAACAAATGGGACTTACTCAAACTAAGAAGTTTTTTCTCAGCAAAAGAAACAATAAGAGAGGTAAATAGGGAGCCTACATCCTGGGAACAAATCTTTACTCCTCACACTTCAGATAGAGCCCTAATATCCAGAGTATACAAAGAACTCAAAAAATTAGACAATAAGAGAACAAACAACCCAATCAACAAATGGGCCAAGGACCTGAACAGACACTTCACAGAGGAGGACATACAGTCAATCAACAAGTACATGAAAAAATGCTCAACATCTCTAGCTGTCAGAGAAATGCAAATCAAAACCACCCTAAGATACCATCTCACTCCAGTAAGATTGGCAGCCATTAGGAAGTCAAACAACAACAAGTGCTGGCGAGGATGTGGGGAAAAGGGTACACTTGTACATTGCTGGTGGGACTGCAGATTGGTGCAGCCAATTTGGAAAGCAGTATGGAGATTTCTTGGAAAGCTGGGAATGGAGCCACCATTTGACCCAGCTATTCCCCTTCTTGGTCTATTCCCTAAAGACCTAAAAAGAGCATGCTACAGGGACACTGCTACATCGATGTTCATAGCAGCACAGTTCACAATAGCAAGACTGTGGAACCAACCTAGATGCCCTTCAATAGACGAATGGATAAAAAAAATGTGGCATTTATACACAATGGAGTATTACTCTGCATTAAAAAATGACAAAATCATAGAATTTACAGGGAAATGGATGGCATTAGAGCAGATTATGCTAAGTGAAGCTAGCCAATCCCTAAAAAACAAATGCCAAATGTCTTCTTTGATATAAGGAAAGTAACTAAGAACAGGAGAAGAAGATTAACATTTAACAGGGATGAGAGGTGGGAGGGAAAGGGAGAGAGAAGGTAAATTGCACGGTAATGGAAGGAGACCCTCAGGGTTATACATTGGAGGGGGTAGAGAGAGAGGAGGGGAGGGGAGGGGAGAGGTGGGGAGGGGGGAGGGTGGATGATGGGAAAGGCAGCGGAGCACAACAGACACTAGTATGGCAATTTGTAAATCAATGGATGTGTAACTGATGTGAATCCGCAATCTGTGTATGGGGTGAAGGTGGGAGTTCATAACCCACTAGAATCAAAGTGTGGAATATGATATGTCAAGAAATTTGTAATGTTTTGAACAACCCACAATAAAAAATTAAAAAAAAATAAATAAATAAAAATAAATTTGCTTGCTTCTTAAAAAAAAAAAAAAAAAAAAAAAAAAAAGAACTATTGATTCCTATTCCTGATTTGCCCATTTTCGGTCAATTGGTACCAAAATCTCATAGTTGGGAGTAGAAAACTGGTAGAATGGGGGAAACTGTGTGTGTGTATGAATATGTGTATTTATTTACCTTATTTATTTTACCCTAAGGTCTTATTTCTGTTTTAATATTTGTGGTTACCTTAAATTGAAAATAAAACCAACACATCTTACTCCCTGTTTCCAGTTTCCCTCAAAAAACTCTCCCATTCTTTCTATCCTAATCATTGTCATAACCATTCATAATATTTGATCAAAATGTTTTATCATTTTATTACTTCTCTGCCATTCCCACTAGTTTATGAGCTTCTTGAAGATTGTCTTGTTTTTATATTCCTAATGCCTAGTGCACAAAACTTTGCTCAGGAAATGTTTGATGGCTAGAAGATAGCTTTGTCCACACATCCTGGTTTTCCAGCTTGTTACAAATTGGATCCTCCCTACATCCTCTCCCTAGTACTAAACCTGTTTCCATACTGATTTGGCTCCTTCCTAATCAACATTTAGGCTTACATGTCTTTACTCTTGTTAGTACTCCATACCTGGTCTCTTCTAAACCCAGTCTTTCCTACCCTAAATTCCACTTAAAAAGTCTTAAGCTTGTGCCATATCCCTGCCTCTTTCTTCAAACCTTCCTATGCAGGTAAAACCAATTTTGCCTGCCTCTGAATTCTTGCACTACTTACTGCTGTAATAAATTGTTTTATCCCTTAATCATATTCCTAGTGCTATAATTTGATATAATGATGTCTACCATTTAGTTGAATATCTCTTGCATATCAGGCTGTGAGTACAAACCTTATCTCAAATGGTACAGTGGTAATATATCTATTTTGTAACTGAGAGGTAACTAAAGTTCAGTGAATTTAAATAAGTAACTTAATCAAGATTACAAAGATGACTCCAGATCTTTCCAACTTCAAAGAAACATCTTTTACCTGTATCACAGTATTTTCTCTCCTCCTCCTCCTCCTCTTCTTCACTTCCTTTTTTCTCCCTTTCTCTCCCATCCTTTACTGTGTCTGCCTCATCTTATAAGTACTTAATGTTTGTTGAATTGAGCTGATAATGATTGGTGGAAGTATTGAAGCCTATTCCACTTTGTTGTTTTAATATTTTATATTAAGATGCCTTGTTTTTTTTTTTTTGAAGTTGTGTTTTTTTTCATTGTCCACAACTTTGACTTAAATACTTAAAAATTTGACATTAAGCCTAACATGTATTTTTAAATTTAAAGCATAGATTCTATAAATAAACACAGTATCTTTTGGATATGTAATGTAGTAAACGATATTTGTATTAATTTTATGAATTTGAGAGCAATAATACTACATACTTCTATACACATAAGCAAAATTTTACTTAAAATAGGCAATACAAAGAATATGGCTTTAATATTACCTTTGAAAGATAGTGCAAAGCAGCATATTTGTGATCTTTTTTTAGTTCGAGACCGTGTTCGGACAAAAATGGAACGTGATATCTTGGTAGAAGTTAATCATCCTTTTATTGTCAAGTTGCATTATGGTAAGTTATGAACGAACTGTCATTTCATCACTTTACCTAATTTGCCCACTTCCTGGATAAACTCCAATATAGATATAGATATGTATGTATGTATGTATGTGTTTTACAGATACATATAATAAAATAAAGTTATAGAAATTAAACTTTTTGTTTTTTGATGGTGCCAGGGAACAAACCAAGGGCCTCACGCATCCCAGGCAAGTGCTCTACCACTGAACTGCATCCCCAAGTAGAAGTTGGTCTACTTCTTAGACCAACTTCAGAAATTTTTGTTTCTTTTATTTTTTAATTTTACTTATTTTTGGGGTGGGGGTAACCAGATATTGAACCCAGGGGCACTCAACCACTGAGCCACATCCCCAGCCCTGTTTTGTATTTTATTTAGAGACAGGCTTTCACTGAGTTGCTTAGCACCTTGCTTTTGCTGGCTTTGAACTTGTGATTCTCATGTTTCAGCCTCCCGATCCTCTGGGATTACAGGCCTGCACCAGCCCACCCGGCTGTTGTTTCTTTTAAACAAAATAAAATTAGTTTCTGGGGCTGAGGTTGTGGCTGAGTGGTAGAGTGCTCACCTAGCACATGTGTGGCACTGGGTTCCATCCTTAGCACCACATAAAAATAAATAAATAAAATAAACGTATGCAAACATGGAGTATAACATAAAAAAAATTAGTTTCTAAGTGTTAGCCATAGGATTAGCTAATAGCATTTACTGCTTTTTAATAATAATAATAATAATAATAAACAACCAGCTTTTTATAGTCCCTACCTGTTAGCCCAACCTGAAGGCAAGAAAGAACCCTAGTATCAGTGGCCTTTCTTTTCTCCAAAGCCATGTACTTCTCAGTGGGTAAAGGTATAGTGATTCTTATTATGTGTTAATTAACAATAAGACATACTTCATGTTTGTATAAGTGTGTCAAAATATAATCTACTGTCATGTATAACTAAAAAGAACAAATAAAAAATTATGTGTAATTAAATCTAACCAACCCACTTTTTTTTGTAGTTAGTGACATGGTTTTTGCATTTTATTTAATGGTTAAGTAAGTCTTTTTCTGTCGTGGGTTTTTCTTATTAATTACATGTTTAGTCCTGTCATGTTCCTAAGAGACTCTTTCCTGTAGAAAACCTAATAGTTCCACAATAAGAAACCTTGATTTTAACATTTCCATGTAGAAACCAAGTGAAAGAGTAGTTTTTGTCTAAGTTGAAAGTAAGTTTAAGTCTCTGATGTCAGTCATTAATTTGATAAAAGTAATATTTGTTTATGAATGACTTTTCCTAATATAAACCTAAAAAATGAACTACAATTGTTGAATTTTCTTTTCTTTATTTAGCTTTTCAAACTGAAGGGAAGTTATACCTTATTTTGGATTTTCTCAGGGGAGGAGATTTGTTTACACGCTTATCCAAAGAGGTATATGATTAATGTCTGTTTTAAATCTATTTATACTCATCCTGTTTCAATTAAAGCTTTGTTATATTTCAATATTATATTTTCTCCACTGGCACAAGATTCTTACATTGAAGAAACTGAGCTACAAGAGTTTTTTTTTCCTATCTTTTGAATTTATCCTAAAAGTAGGACTTAAAATTGACAAACTGTCCTTGTATTAACCCAGCTTCTTTCATAGTTTTTCAGAAGTGAAAATATATCCACAAGATACACTGTAAAATGAGTAGTAGCAATTCAGCATGCATTTTAACTTTTCATTTCTAAGCTCTTACTATGGCGAGACAACAGTGGCACAATCTAAATATAGTTTTTAAATAAAATGTAAACCTATTTCCCCCACAGTGCATAGTTAGCATTTAATAAGTGATTGCTATTGACCAATTAGATTATTTTGCAAATTTCTTTCATGAGTAAATTGTGGATAAGGCTATGTCTAATTAGCATACTTATAAACTCTTTAATTATTTAAACTCTAAAGTGGAACTTTAAATAAAACTCACAGACCTTAAAAGAAAATAAAGATAGAAAAATTATTTTATTTTAGGTGATGTTCACAGAAGAAGATGTCAAATTCTACTTGGCTGAACTTGCACTTGCTTTAGATCATCTACATAGCCTGGGAATAATCTATAGAGACCTAAAACCAGAAAAGTAAGGAATCATTCTACTAAGTTGAATATAATGTAATATAATTGTTTAGGAGGTCATAAAAAATAAAGTGACTTCATATAACTCCCACAATATTACATTAATGTACCTGTGTGTAACATCTCTGTTGCACTGTATATTCTATACTTTTAAAATCTTGGTTAAACAAAAATATTGTCTTGTTCTCATTTGCATTATTTGATTTTCTAATGAGGTTGAAATATGTTTTATTGGAAGTTTGTATTTTTGTGAGTTTTCTGTTCATAACCTTTGCTGCTTGTATTTCTTTTAGAATGTTGTTTTTTCCCATTAATTTATAAAAGAAAAAAAAAGAATTTCACAAATAAGAGTGTTAACTGTTTAGCTAAGTGCTGTCACATGCACCTATATACCTAGAGTCCCCACTACTCAGGAGATTGAGATGAGACAAGAGAGTTGTTGGAGCCAGCCTGTCGCCAAAAAAAAAAAAAAAAAAATTAGACATTTGACCCACGTTATATCTGCATTTTCTACTTTTTTTTTTTTTTTTTTTTTTTTTTTTTTTTTGAGACAGGGGTCTCACTGTGTTGCCCAGGCTGGTCTTGAATTGGTGAACTCAAGTGACTTCTTGCCTCGTCCTCCCAAGTAGGTGGGAGTACAGGCATGTGCCACTGTGCCCAGCTTTCCATTCTTTAAATTTGTTATTTTAATCTACACACTTTTTTCTTACATCAATCCATTTTTTTCTTTTGTGTTTTCTCTCATGACTTTTATTATTCAAAATGCTTTTCCCAATCCCATGATCATATATTTTTCTTCTAATTTTGTGTTTTTTAACTATAATTCCATCTAGAAATTCTTTGATATGAAGAATGTTATAGAGATAACACTTTCCCCCAAATACCATTTATTGGAAATTTCTTCTTACAATTTCAACTTTTAAGTCTGAATTGAGCAAAATTTCCAACTCTTTTAGTAGCAGTAATGGAGAAGCAAACACTGAAAAAAGGAACCTCATGAAAATAAAAGGAAGACCAGTGAAGTAAAGAAAAGGGTCAGGGGGAGGGACAGGGTAGGTACTGGAAAATGAAATTGATTGAATTATTTTAATTCAATGAATCTGTTATGTATAATCATAATGCACCAATTTAAAAAAAAAACTGATATTGGTGGTGCATGCCTGTAATCCCAGTGACTTAGGAGGTTGAAGAATAGCTTTATTGAGGTATAATTCTCATAGTATATAACTGATCCATTTAAAATATATAATTCAGTCAGTGGTGTGTACCTATAAATTCAACACTTTGGAGGCTTTGGCAGGAGGATTGCTTGAGCCCATGAATTTGAGGTAAATAAGGGCAACATAGCAAGACCCCATCTCAAAAAAAGTTTGATTAATTGGTTTTTGGTATATTCAGAGTTGTGTAACCATCATTTTTATCAGCTATTTTTATTATTACTTTAAAATGTTATGTGCAGAAATTAAATTACACATTGTGACAGGCAGTAGAGAAAATGTTCCTTTGGAACCCTTTTAAGTGATTATTTAGAAATTGTAATACTTTTACATGTGTTTGTCATTTATTTTGTTTTTGGATACATTTCATATGTTATTTATTGTTTTTTGTTTTGTTTATTTGTTGGTACTAGGACTGGAACCCTGAGCCTCATAAATGCTAATATCCTAAACTCCCTACCACTAAGCTATATCCCCATCCATATGATTCTTTTTTTATTTTCCAAATAATTACTGAGTTTTTCTTGTTATTTTCCCAAATTCTATCATGATATGAAATTTATTCCTGATGAAATAAATATTCAAACAGAAGAAAAAGTTACTATAAGATTTTAGTAATTCCCCAGAAAACACTGAGGAATGTCTATAGTGAAGGGATAGGTCAGTGAAAATGAGGAATGTGGGGAACATGGTATGTTGAGAACAGGATTATGTAGATTGTGTCAGGAAAAAAGAACTTGGAAAGGATGCTTGAATTAGATACTTTAAAAAATGACCATGAAAATGAAACTGGAATGTTTAGTCAGGCCAACTGGGCGGGGGGAGAACAGCTTAGAAGGATATAGCTTATTTGGTTTGGTTTCCCCTAATAGTTTTTGAGTGCCTATTGTTCATTAATCTAAGTTATGGCATTGTTTTGGGTCTTTTATAAATATGTATCCAAAAAAATATTTTCACCCTTTACCTTTGCTTTGTAATTCTCAGTCTAAAGCAATATTTTAGAATAAATGTGATCTGATGCTTAAGAAAGTTATTTCATTTTAGTTGCTGTACATCACTATTCAGTGATTTGAGAGATTTTCTGACTTTGTTTTCTTTCAGTATACTTCTTGATGAAGAAGGCCACATCAAGTTAACAGGTAAAAAAGAAAAACCCTTCATTTTATTAAAATACTCTCTTCTATATAATTTCTTCTAAGATTATTTATGGTGCAAATATTGACTAATACATTATGTTTAAAACCTGAGTTAGAATTTTTAATAATGTAAATTTTGGAATTCAGAGTTTAAAATTTATATGTGAAAATTATTGTGTGGTATTTATTTTGGCAGATTTTGGCCTAAGTAAAGAGTCTATTGACCATGAAAAGAAGGCATATTCTTTTTGTGGAACTGTGGAATATATGGCTCCAGAAGTAGTTAATCGTAGAGGTCATACTCAAAGCGCCGACTGGTGGTCTTTTGGTGTGTTAATGGTAAGGTTTGGATTTTTGGCCTTTCGGAGAATTGGGATTTGTTGCTTTGTATATTAAAGGATAATCAAAAGTGAATTCTATAAGAGAGAAATTGGTATTTTTATTTTCTATATTTTATAGTATATATAATAAATAAGAAAAATTATTGCCTGCAGTGTAGAAGGACTATGAAACTCCTTAGTTTTTGCCAAGCCCAGTGGGTGCACATCTTTAATCCCATCTACTTAGAAGACTGAGGAAAGAGAATCACAAGTTTAAGGCCAGCCTCAGAAGCTTACAGAGACTATCTTAAAAAATAGAAGGGTTTGGCATGTAGCAAAAGCTCAGTGATAAAGTGCCTTTGGGTTCAATTCCCAGTATTGGTTAAAAAAAAAAAGTTTATATGAAATTGACATCTGTCAGGTTATTCACATATCTACACTTTTAAATTGCCATTTGAAATGTGATTTAAAAATAAATAAAATGATTAATTTATGCAAGAAAACTACAGAGCTCAATTATCTTTTAGGACTTATCAGGAATTTCTGTAATGAATATAGTGTAAGTATTAAACATTTGACTTATAATTAAGATAATGCTTTCTGTACTTCTGGCCTTGAGATTTTTATATTTATTGACTTATACCTCTGATTATTTTACCTTTCCGTAGTTTGAAATGCTCACTGGCACACTACCTTTCCAAGGAAAAGATCGAAAAGAAACAATGACAATGATCCTTAAGTAAGTACTCCCTAATGAAGACGTTTTGATATTCTAAAACAAAGGCTTCATACTAAAAAAAAAATGAGATTTTAGAGTGTTGGACATGTAGTATAAGAAATAGCCAAAAAACAATAAATAAATAAATAAATAAAGCTGGGGGGGGGGAATAAAGAAATAGCTAGTAAATTCATCACTATTACCTGGTTTAAATATAAACAAACTACATAGGTTTAGAGTACTCATTATCTTCATGTGAGTAATGAAATACTGAAAGTTTACCTTTTGACATTTGGAATATGATAAATATGTTCATTATTCCACTTCCATCTGCATTGTACCAGTGGTACTAGACAGTATGTTAAAGCAGGCAAAAAAGTAAATTCTGTATGTGAGTAACAGAAAATGACAATTTTAAAGCAGATACTGTTTACAATAATAAAATATTTGAATTCCACAGTCATGGCAGTGCATACCTATAATCCACACTATTTGGAAGGTTAAGGGGAGAGGATCCACAAGTTTGAGGCCAGCCTTGGTAATTTAGCAAGACCTTGTCTCAAAATAAAAAGGAATAGGGATATAGTTCACTGGTACTGCTCCCTGGGTTCAATCCCCAGTACCACCAAAAAAAAAAAAAATTATTTTCAAATTTCTAGGGTTAAATCCAGCAACAGTTATACAAGAACTCTATGCAGAAAACAAGAGAATTTTATTTAAAGGAAATTTAAACAACCAAAATAACATGAAAGGATAAACCATGTTCACATTATAAGAGACCCAGTGTTATAAAGATGTAGGTTCTATACATCATGTTATTCAATGGAAATATAATGCAAGCCATATACATAATTTTATGTTTTCTAGAAGCTACAATTAAAAAAGTAAGAAGGAACAAAATTAATTATAATATATTTTATTTAACCCAATATTCCAAGATATTATCATTTCAACAGGTAACCAACATAAAAAATGATTAGTGAAACAGATGTGGTGATGCATACCTGTAATCCCGGTGACTCATGAGGCTGAGGCAAGAGGGTAGCAAGTTCAAGGCAGCCTTAGCAACCAAGCAAGGCCCTAATCAACTTAGTGAGACCCCCATCTCAAAATAAATAAAAAGGGCTGGGGATGTGGTTCAGTGCTAAATGCCCCCAGGTTCGATCTCTAGTTAAAAAATATGATTAAGACATATTTTAAAGTGTTTTTTCATATTTGTTTGAAATTCAGCATGTATTTTTCACTTAGATTTTGGATGACCAGATTTCAAGTGTCCAGTGGCCATATATGGGTAGTAGCTACCATACTAGATAATAAAATTATAGTTGCAATGCAAATAAAATAAAAATTTAATCCAATTTTATATGGAGGGTTTGATATACTGATTCTAATATGATAATGGACCAAGAATCACTAAAATACTCTTTGAGAAGATTGAGATATTTAGACTTCCTTTGCCAGGTATCAAGTATTATAATAATAAGTAACTCAATATAGCATTGAAACAATTATGTAGACTTCTGCAATGATTAGAGATAACAGTAACAGACCTACATATATTTATACCCTTAATTTATAACCATTGGGAATTGCAGAGCAGTAGAGGGAAAATACTTCCTACCAAAAGATTCCATTAAGAGAGAGTAAAAGGGGCTGGGGTTTTAGCTTGGTGGTAGAGCACTTACCTTAGATTAGTGAGGCACTGGGTTCGACCCTCAGCACCACATAAAAATAAATAAATAAAATAAAGATATTGTGTCCATCTACAACTGAAAAAAATATTAAAAAAGAAGTTTCTGACAGAATCGGCAAAGAGACTTGTACCCAGAATGTATCAAACTCCAATCAATAAGAAAAAGAAACAATAAGAATGTGGGTAGAAATAGGGACCACATAAAAGAGGATATTCAATGGTTTATAAACTTATGAAAAGATGCTCAAACTCATTAATCATAAAATGCAAAATTTGGGCTGGGGATGTGGCTCAAGCGGTAGCGCGCTCGCCTGGCATGCGTGCGGCCCGGGTTCGATCCTCAACACCACATACAAACAAAGATGTTGTGTCCGCCAAATACTAAAAGATAAATATTAAAAAAAAATATTTAAATAAATAAATAAATAAAAATAAAAATAAAATGCAAAATTTCCTATGGGGTGGTACATATCTGTAGTCTCAGCTAATTGGAAAGGTAAGGCAGTTAAGATCCCTTGAGCTCAGGAGTCCTGGGCCAGTCTGGGCAACATAGGGAGACCCTATCTCTTGAAAAACAAAATAAAAGAAAATGAAGATTAAAACTACTATTAGGTACCACTGCATATCCACCTAAATGGCTAAAATTAAAAGAGACTAGCAGGCTAAACATTCAGGGCGGCATTGCTTCTAAAGAGAATAATCACTATACTTATGGCAGAGATTTTGTGCTCAGTAGGTCAGAGACTCCCATCCAAACTACAGACTATGACAAAAGGTGTGGAGTCTCTGATTTGTACAGATTGGCTCCATCACAAATTTACCAAATCAAGAATTTCAGTCAGGTATGGTGGTATACACATATAATCCCAGCTACTCAGGAGGCTGAGGCAGGTATATTGCAAGTTCAAGGACAACCTGGGGAACTTAGGAGAGACTCTGTCTCAAAGTAAAAAAAGGGCTTGAGATATATAGCTCAGTGGTAGAATGCCCCTGGGTCCAGTCCCCAGTAACACAGACACACACATACACACAAAGAATTCCACATAAAGTGTTTCAGCCTTTACCTGCAGATCATAAAAAATATCCAAAACCTTCAAACTGCATAATTTTTAAAAATATTTTTTAGTTGTAAATGAACATAATACCTTTATTTTATTTGTTTTTATTTTTATGTGGTGCCAGGGATCAAACCCAGTGCCTCACGCAGGCTAGGCAAGCGCTCTACCACTGAGCCACAACCCTGGCCCCAAACTGCATAGTTTTACCAGAATAAAAAGTACCAAAAGGGCTGGGATTGTGTCTCCGTGGCAGAGTGCTTGTCTAGCATGTGTGAGACACTGGGTTTGATTCTCAGCACTGCGTACCAATAAATAAAATAAAGGTCCATTGACAACTAAAAAAAATTTTTTTTTAAATCCATGTTAGGAGAAAGATACAATGTAGCCTTAAATTACCACAAGGACTTCCAGCAAAGGAGAACATGTCTAACACATTCCTCAAAAGCACTAGAGAGGGGCTGGGGTTGTGGCTCAGTGGTAGTGTGCTCGCCTGGCATGCATGAGGCACTCACTGGGTTTGATTCTCAGCACCACATAAAAATAAAGACAATAAAGTCCATCAACAACTAAAAAAAAAATTTTAAAAAGCACTAGAGAATTCGCACTGCAATGGTATCTAAAACCTGTAGAGCAGGAAGCAGTATGCCTTGATGCCACAGCAGCATTAGATTAAAATATACAAAATCATTTTTATTTCAAATTGGCAAGAAAGTGTTTTCATTAAATATAATTTAAATTCCAGTCAAAAAATGGGAGACTGGAAATATAGATTGTTGGTGGGATGTAGAGCAGTGGCAACTTTCATACATAGCTGGAAGGAATATAAATACAAATACTCATAACCATTTTGGAGAACAGTTTTTGTCATTATCTTCTAAAGACAAATATATGTATACCATCATGCATTTATCCCACTCCTAGCCATGCACTCAATTTATATGCATCAAGGAACTCACATTAAAAAAACAATATAAAACTGTTCATAGCACCATTGTTTGAACTAGTAGAAGGTACTTCATTAGCAGTAGAATGGATTAATAAACCCTGGTATATTTATACAGTTGAATAGAGTAGGAATTGTATTTACTATCTGTAAATATTTTAGGTTTTATAGGCCACACACAGTCTCTGTCACATATTATTCTTTATTTGTATTTTTTGGTCCAACTCTATAGGAAGAAAACAATTCTTAGGACCCATACAAAAACAGGTCCACATCTTTGGCCCATGAGCATGGTGTGCCACAAGCAGAGAAAATGAACAAACCACAGTTACATATAACAACTTGGATAAATCTCACAAGAACGTTAAGCAAAGGAATTTCAAACTCAAAAGGATAAATGCTATGTGTTTCTATTTATACAGTTTATAGAGCAGGCAAAATTAAAGCATATTTTTAGGGTCTGTATTACATGGTACAAGCTAGAGGCAAAATAAGGAAAGTGAAGGATTCTGGTAATGTTGTCTTTCTTGGCCAGATAATTATTCACTTTTTGGTAAATCATTAAGCTATGTGATTTGGGCAGGGTTTTTTGTTTGTTTGTTTGAATTTTTTTGTATTTTATGTTATTCTTAAAATGTAAAAATATGTACTACATAAATGAATGAATGTTCACTTGGCTTTCATCACTGAACTGAACCTTCATCACTCCATCTACTCTGATCCCCCTCCTTTCAGCTGACAGACACTTTCTTGTGTGTTGATGAAAACCAAGCCTTTTCTTTGACCTGACCTTCCTTTCAAGTTATTATACCATCTTCCTACATCCTTTCAGTACAAAGCCTCTAAAAGAATAGTCTATGCTTTCTGTTACTATTTTTTGGCTTCTTTTATTCCACAGCCTGTTTGTCATTCGTCTCTACCACTCTACTGAAATTGCTCTCACTATGGTTATTAATATTCTTCTGGTTTGCTAAAACTTGTGGAAGGTTGTCACAAAGGTGACTGTCTACCAGTCATTCACAAAATTCATTCAACAGGTAATTGAGTACTTTATACAAGTACTGGGAATGCAGTATGAACAAGACAGACAATCATCAATGGTCTCACAGAACTTACATTCTAGTGGGGGAGATAAGGAATTAATATTTAATATTTAAGTAAATAAATGTAATACTTTCAGATAGTAATGGGAACTGTAGGTATATAATAAGCCAGGGTAATTTACTCTGCCAGTGACCCCTTAGTGTGTGAGGGAAGGGGCAGGGACAGGAGCCATTTTAGATAAGACACTTAAGGAAGGCCGCTCTGAGGAATATTTGACACTGTT